CACTATGAACCTTAGAACAGGGCTATTCAGGGTTTTTTGGGGGTTCCAAGGGGTGAAAAGAGCTCGAAGGGCGGCGAAGGCTTCCAGGGCTTAAGGTTTTGGGGCTTTAGCGTCTGACAGGCTTCTGGTTTTGTGCTGTGGGTTGAAGGGTTGAGCGCCATCCGGGTGTCCGGGCTTCTGATGACGGATCTGACAAGGCTGTTGTAGGCTCCTTCGCAGAGAACACGGTGCTTCTCTTCAGATCACAATGGTGCTCTATCATGATTTACCATTGGGTGATCATCGGGTTTGTTGGGTATCGGTTTGAGGATTCGTACGCTCACTACCTAGAAAATTTTGCTGGCTGCAGAGATCGGTTTACGGGCCATGAGGCATGGAAGAGCTTCAAGTCAAGTCTTTCCCTAATCCTACGTCGTTCTTCAACCCCCTCCCCCAACTTACACCTTTTTCTTGTTTCGAAACAGAAATTGCGACACCTCACGCAGAAAGATTTCTTGAAAAGGATACCGTTGAACAGGTCGAGATTCCGTTGCCCCATGTATCTCCAAGCGCCGCGCACCTGGCATGCCGGAAAGAAATCCTAATCCCTAGCTCACTAAGTCCTACACCCAAGACTCTGAACCACCTAAACCCTGAACCTGAATTCCAGAACGCTGGAACCCGCCGAGGGCCGTTACGTGTGGCTGTCTTGATTCAATTGTTGGCTTGATGCATGTTCACAGGCATAGATGAAGTCACACAAAGTACATGGACTAAGCACACAAGCACATGACGACGGAACGAGGCAAGTAGGGAAGGAAGCAAGCAATTGGGGTAGGGAGTAAACGAGTGAGTGAGCTTGCACATATACAACAGATAAAAACTCAACAACTTTTGTGTTTGCATTGCTACTTCTGTATGCACACACACACACACACGCACCTGTACATATACATGTATATGCCACTGTATATGTGCTGTATGTATATCTATTAATGTGCATACTTGCATGCATGTATACACCAGGTTCCCAGCCTGGAATGAAGACTTGATGTCGCACATCCCAAAACCTGAACCCTAGTGTGGTCGGAAGAATTAGTAGTCGAATCCACATATGGTCCTTAAATAGATCTAACGTGGTATACCCCCCGCTTGAAGAAAGGTCTATTCAAGTTATTTAGGCCGCTGTAGTAAGCTCCTCAGCTGTCGAACTCGAAGAACTACAAAAGGAGCAGGCCAATCGGGTTGAGTGTTCGCTCAGGATCTAGAGTTCAGGGTTTGGGATTCAAGGTCTAGTTTAGGCACACAGTTGTCGAGGTTGAAGCGTTACGGCAGCAGTGAGGAACCGAAGCCCCGAAGCCTTTAGCTTCTGATGGACCAGTGGGGCTTTACTAGCAGACCAGGACAAGGTTCGATGCCTCTGCATTGCTTCCTTTCCTTTGCATGCCTGAAGAACGCTTATGGGTTTACGGGCTCCGGACAAGGGCTCCTCCGTGCTCCGGCTCCGAAGGCAGAAAGTTTGCTTCCTCTTGAGAATCATGTCTTGCGCGTTGAAGCTTTAAGATCTTGGCATCTTGAGGTCTCTCCTAAATCCTGCACTGGGAGCCCAATAAGGGAGTTTCAAGTCCCAGAGCCGTAGGGACCAGTCATGTTCGGACTCCTTCATGCCGGCAGAGCACGTGGCATACCAACTTCAGGACCTCGGGCCAGAAAAGGGGGTTCAGGTTTTACAGGTTTTTGGCTTTCGGCATTCAGGGTTAGCCGTCTGCAGGGTTCAGGGGTTCAAGGTTTACTGGAAGAGGGTGGGACTAGAGCTCCGGGTAGTTCAGGATAGAGGGTCTGTTATGCTTGAGGTCAGTTTGGGTGTCAGCTTTTGCTAGGCCAGGTTGCCCTACGCTCAGGACTCAATCGAGTCCCCAAACGCAAGCACTAGAGTTTCAAATTTAAGCCTATCTGAACCTCACACCCAAACCCAATTCCCTAAACCCTTTGGTTGAGGTGCCCTTGGTGCCGGGATGGTGGCAGCCGGTGGGCTGCTGATGGTGGATGATGTTGGCCGCAGGACATTCGGGGACTGGTGACGGGGACGGGGGCTCAGCGTTTGAGAGCCCGAAAGCCCCAGACCCCAAGTGCTCAAGACTTGAATACGCAGAAAAGCTGGTGTGGGGTCGAAGAGCCTCAAGACCACGGCGGGTGTCAAAGCATAAGTGTGTCCTCACTCAACAATAAGCACGGGAGAGAGGGTCCAGGCGAGGATTGGGATGGTCGTTGGGGTTGTTGGGGCCGTGGGCCTTGGCTTTCTCGAGCTTCGACTGGCTTCCAGTTCCGTTCTGACGATTCGAAGACTGGGCCTTCGGGGGAGACGGAAGCCCAGGCCTTGAGCTCTAAACTTGCAACCGACTACGGTCTTTAATGCGATCCACAGCTTGGATTCGACATCTTCCCCGAACTCTGGTTCGAAACGTCAGGCCTTGTAAATTCCCCCTGCAAACCTGCCTGGTTTCGGCTGTTGCATTGTGAGGCCTTTGGGCTGCTCGGGTGCGGCAGCCCAAAGACGCTTCGATGCGATGGTTTCAGTCGTCCTCAGACCCTAAAAAGCCCTACAGCCCTTTGTGGTATAGGCCGAAAGCCCCGCCTACCCAAGCCCTGCACCCTGGAACTTTGAGCCTTCGTGGGGTGGTAGTGTAGAGAATTGGCGGCTAGCGGCTTGCGCCAAAGGGCCGGTTATCGTCTAGGGTTTAGAATACAGAATGGCGTCCCGGGCGAGGTCTTTTCGAACTTGAAGGTTTGAGAGTTTGTAAGCTTCAATCTTTGAAGTTTTAGAATGTTGAAGGTTTCAAGGGCGCTGGAGTTCGAAAGTTTGGGCCCCTTGGTCTGGCGTCAAAGCTCGCACTTTTGAAACTCGAATGTTTCAATCTTTCGAGCGCTCAAACTTTCGAAGTTTCGAGTTCGGCTGCTTCAGACTCAAAACTTCGAACATTTGCCGCGGTCGAGTCCGATCGGCTCTCATAGTTTGAGAGTTTGATTCATTGAAAGTTCGGTTCCGAAAGTTTCCTGTCTGAAAGTTCGACAGTTTGAAAGCTCGAAACTTCGAAAAACCGAAAATTCGAAGGTTTGGAGTTTGTAAGCTTGGCTTCAGGTTCGGTCTGTGGATGGCTGCTGGGGTCGAGAGTTTGGCAGTTCGACAGTTTCGATCATTGAAAGATATGGAGATCGAAACTTCGAAAATTTGAGAGTGTTAAAGTTTGAACGGCATGAAAGTTCGCGACTTTGAGAGCTCGAGCGGTTGGAAGTTTCAAAAGTTTGAAGCTGTGAAACGCGTCGGCACCGACTTTCGAGTTCGATACTTTGAGAGTTCGAAAGTTTGAAAAGTTCGAGTTGCAATCATTGAAAGGCCCGAGATTTTGTGATCCTGTTTCATCGGCGAACTCGGTTGATCATATTTCTTGAACCCGCCTCCTCCCTTGGCGATTCCGGTTGTTCACATTTCTTGAACCCGCCCCCTCGTTTGGTGATTTCGGTTGATGACACATCCGAGAAACCCTTGCCCTCAGTTGGCGAATCCGGTCTTTTCCAAAAACGCGGCCCATCATCGGCCATTATCGCATATCTTCCGCGACCCGTTCAGTGTGTCCTGCGAACCTGGTGTCCCGCAGCGGCCCGGGGCCAGCGGCCAGCGCCTCCGCGCAAAAATCAGCCTGTACCCCGAAAAGAATGCTACCAATGCAGCCCTTGTCAAACTTCTGAGGCTCCTATATCAGGCTCCACGGAAGCAGGTTCTCCTAAATCTTGAAACCCTCCAGCCGACAGCGCCAAATGAAAAAGGTGCAACCGGGTTCGGCAGAGGAGGGCGCGGGTTTAGAATATGTGAGGAATCAATCGGAATCGCTTAATGTGATCAACCTCGATCCCCAAATGAGAGGGCGGATGAGCCGGATTCGCCAAAGCAGGGCGAGGGTTTCGGAGATGTGATCAACCGGGATCGCCACATGAGGAGGCGGGTTCAAGAATTGTGATCAAGCGGGTTCGCCAAACGACGAGGCGAATTTTACAAATGTGACTTTTTCATTGTCCAAAATTTCAAACGGTCAAACTCTCCCAACCCGTCCTACATTCAAACTTTCATCAAAATTTTAAGCCAGAAAGGCCCTACTCGTGGCACCTATCCTGAGAATATGGGGGTAGGAGCCTTCCCGGTTTAGTATGTAAGCTTTCAGGTTGTTGAGGTTTGCGGTCAGACCCATCGCCCTTGGGCAGTGCGGTTTCCTGCCTCATACATCTTTCCGACAACAGTGCACCCCTGAAAAAGGGGGCGCAGCAGAACGTTTGACTTCAAACCGCATGCCTTTTTCTTAAACCCCAAAGCCCGAAAGCCAAACCTTGAGCATCTTCTTCTAAGTGCCTGAAGGCCCAAAGCCTTGCAAACCAAGGTCCTCCTCTACGCCCGCAGTCACGGCCTCAGGGCCTGCGAGCGGCCTGCTTCCTGCAGGCCGTGGACCGAAGGCCGGACTGCGTTCCGAGCTCTTGCGGGCCACTGGAGTGGGAGTTGGGGTGGGAGTAGGAACATCAAGCCACAACAAAATCAAACAGACTGGTGCCAGTGACCTGCATCACGTTGTTACCCACCGTGTCAGAGGTCCGTGAGCTCTGAGCCGCCGCAGCTGCGGCATCTTGACTCCGAAAGGCGAAAATCCGGCGGAACGTGTCCAGTGTTTACCGCCTTACAATCTGGAAACAGGCGTTTGCCCCCAGCCATGTTCTGCCCGATCCACTTCCCAATCGCTTGGCTCCTCCCCTTGTGCTGCCAGTTCTTCTGCTTCCTCCGCCGCCTCTATCAGCCCCAATTCCTCCTGAATTTGGCGTTCTTCATTGGGGCCTCTGTCTCCTGATTGTGTCTCCATCTGTGTTGCCCCAGCTTGGGACTCCAGCTGAGTTGCTCCGGGCCCTGCAGCTGGACCTGCCCCGGTGCCTGGAACAGACTATCACCGTGGAAACATTCTTTGGCCGCTTGTCAGACGCTGATGTTGAAGCCTCGTTCGGTGCGACTGGTGCCAGCGATCTCGCTCGACAGGAAGCTGGGCCACGACCCGCCGGGCTGTATGGCATCTGGGGGTTGGTTGTGTTGTGAGTGGAAGGCTTTGAGTTTCGGCTTAGGGGTCTTTAGGAAGCTACCCCGGGGTTGTGATCAGGATGACCCCACTATTACAGGCGCTGATGATGATGACGACGATGGCAAACCCTGCCGTGGTCGGTCGGCTATCAAAGCCTGTGCACCGAGGAGCGGACGAGGAATTGAGTGCGTTTGGCTCCTGTTGGACTTCGCAGACTTTGCTGAGGCACCTTGGTTCAGACCGTGATACGGCTCCACTATACGGAGGATTCTAGGATTCTAGGTGGCCAGGGTTGTCATGTTGAATAATTGGACCGTGCAACACTAGTGATCTGTCACAGCCCAGAGCCCAAAAGCCTCCCACCCAGGAGATCCGGGCAGCAGCCCAGGGGCTCCCTACCCAAGAGCTGAGACGTCTCGACGAGGCGGGGGTTGTGGGTTTGGGGTTCAGGTTTTCGGGTTGGGGCTTTGTGGCTCAAAGCTGTCCCGAAGCCATCTTTCCTGATCTTCCAGCAGCAAGCCTTGAACCGCATTAACGGCCCGAGTCACAAAACCCAAAGGCCAGAAACTTAAAACCTTAAATCTTCAGTCCCAGCCTCGACAACTGGCCCGAATCCGCTTTAAGATGTATGTAGAGAATGACCGCCCTAGCTAGTCTTGCTCCAGGTTGCGTTCCAGTTGTTAAACACACACATCCCGAAGCCCTCAACACTGCAGATCCTTCGGCCCGAATCACCCAAGACCCAAAACCGGTTATAGAATCCTTAGATATGTGGTACCCGTGTAATACACTTTTAACCGAAGCTCCGAATCTCAACCCCAAGCCGCGCCCAGGTCTTGGGAGGCCGGGCAGCCGAGCTCTTCGAGGCCTTCGTGGCCTCCGGGAGAGCCGAGGGAGTTGCAGGCCGCACAGAAGGGGGGGCGGGGAGCCTCTTGACGAGTCGGGTTCGGGGACATTCCCGGGGTTTGCAATTCAAGGGTCAGGGTTTCGGGGATTGGTGTCGATTCGTGGAGTCAAGAACATGGCTCATAGATTTACATGATCTGCGCTGCAGGTTTTTCTGAGCTTTCTGGACTTTCAGGATGGGGCGGCGAGGCTTTTTCGATTCTTGATGTTTTGGTGCCGGGTCACATGGAGTAAGACCTCGGTCATTCCCGTTCCCAGTACTTGCGTGGGGTGTCTCAAAGGCGACCTTGCCGATCAGGAATGACGAGTCAGCCGCAGGCCAACACGATGCATGATCCGCCGAACCCCCGGCCACCCCAGTGGTATCCCGTTCGCGGGCTGCCGAATCCCTCATGGCGGCTCCAAAACCGTCAACTGTCACGAGAATCTTGTCCCATCCGATCATTGTGACAGTGGCCACTTGCCAACCACGACTCCAGCATAAAGGTATTAAGATGCAGCCGTCACGCAGATCGCGTTCCTGACAGTCCCGATTCCTGTGACAGTTGATCCAAGAAAAGAACATGATTATGATTATGAGGATGATGATGATGATGATGATGACGACACCGGCTAACACTCGAAACCGTCGTGCTTAAACCCTTAAGTCTGCATCCTTATTGGCCCCAACTCGAAGACCCTGAGACCGAAATCCGAAAGTCTTCACAAAATTCATCATGCTCTTGTCAAAGGGCCCTGGAGCTCAGCGGCACGGAACAACTTGGCACAGGAAGGGCCTTCTTTGTTTCAGTGGTTTGAGCCTCGGGTTGCTGTTTTGCTTTCCGGGTTCGGTCAGAGTAGAAGTTGTAGTTCGATTTTGACATTGGCACCCTTAGAAAAATTCGCTGCCATCAGGTTCTTTTGGAGCCAAAAATTTGGACGGGGGCTTCACCTCACCATGTCTGAGCCTGTTCAGCTCTAGCTCACCCTGAAAGACCATGGGCCCATGCCATAAGCGCCACGTCGGCTTTGGAGCCACCTTTTCAATTTTGAAATTCAGAATTTGACTTTGGTCGTGCAGTCTTCGTGCTATTGGAGCCAACCAGCTATATAGTGATGTAGCTGAAGTTCGGGAATGGTCAGCTTGCGGGATTGTGCCTTCTCAACACTTGTGACACTTTTGCGCACTGACGGTGCTGACTGTGATGGCCGTGGCCGGCACCCGACCACCCCACCACCCTCGCACCACCCCACCACCCCACCACCCTACGAGTCAGCCATACCATTGCGGGCCAGCAGGACTACTCCTTCGCGCTGCTGGGACGCCGTGAGGCGCAGACTGTGGCGCGAGCACTGGGCGAGCGCGGAATCTGGAGGGTGGTAGATCCCATGGCAGGTACGGGTCTGAAGCTCAGCTGCAGCCTTTGCTAAGCCCTGCTAAGCTCATTGTCGTAGTTGTCAGTACCATCATCGGCAGATAGGTTGTAGGCAGATCTGGGGTTATGGGACGTTCGAAGAAATTTGATTCAGCATCAAACCTGCAAGTCATCTGCAAACTGTGACTGTGGCCTTCGACATACCCAACCTTCCAGTGCCATCGGTACAACCTAATGATAGCCCCCCTTGTTGGAGGAGTTTTCGGCCTTGGTGTATGTTTGGGGGGATCTAAGTCTATCGAGAGATGATTGACAAATGGAGCAGCAATCTCGGAAAACACCAGCCCGGAAGAAGCACTCGAACACCCAGAAGAGCAAAAGGCACGCGCGGCTTCTGTCGGAAGCGGGGCTTGAGGTCGAGGCCTCGGACGCGCAACCTGGCACTGCCGGTGGCACGGCGAAGATAGCATTTGTGAGAGGTCGACGGATAATGCTTTGGTGGCGTAGCCCATTTTCTCGCTTCTGCACATGCCCGACGAATGAATGCCAGAATGCAGCTGGAGTATACGCAGTAAGTAAGCTAGTTTTCTGTTTCTCGTTGATTTCTGTAATTGGGCAAGCACTGGAGTGGTGCCAGAGGACAAGTCTTGCTGCTGTTTCTTCTATGTCTATGTCCTGAACTGCCCTCGTGGATGGACATGGAGATGCAACGCTGCAGTACTTGCATATTAGTGCATCGCCTGAAAAGATGGTTAAAGTCACGGAAAGCCATAAGTTTCAGTCTCACGTGCGGCCCCTAAACTGCTTGTTTCAACTTCCCGTCCGGTGCATCGAGGATTGAGGCGAGCACCTTGGGCAAGTCCTGTGCAGGCAGAAAATGCGTTTTGGCTACCACTCAATACAGCAGTTGAAGTCCGTGTCACTGTCATATCATGAAGACAACAGCAGCAGCGACGACGAAGGCAAGGATGCTGGCGAGCATGTTGGTGGTAATGATGTCAATCATGCATGTGGTAGTGCTCTTCTTCTTCTCAGTACCGCCTGTCACTGTCGTTAAGGTTCCTGTTGACATTATTCCCACTACGACTGCTACCCACAGAGACCTGAGCGTTTAATCTCAATCGAGAATTCGGCACCCAGAGTCCACAGCCAAGGTGGTTTCTGTTGGCATCCGGTAAGCCAGAGGCCTTCCGATGAAATAAAGGGGAAGCTCTAGGCATTTGGCTTAGTGCTTCGGGTTCACTCTTCTAGGAGATAGAGACGTTTAGATACTGAAGGTTGCGAAACTCAGAGTTCAGCTTCGGCGGTTTCACTAGTCCAAACTTCTTTCAGCAGATATCTTGGGTTGGCGTTTCTCAGATCTCTGCCATGACCCGACCCGATGAGACCGTGTCAGCTGTGAGCGTGGCTCCAACCCACCAGGCATGTACTGTGCAACAGCAGAGGCAGGGAGCAACAACAAGTTGCAACAGAGGTACTAGAATATAGTCACTATAGTCGTCGTCGCCGTGGTTGTCGTAGTAGTGATAGTGGTAGTAGTGGTAGCAGCGGCGAGACCAAGAATAGTGGCAGTTCAATCAAATTCAGCAAGGCTTTGAGCAGGTTTGCATTCGGAGGCCGTCTCACGTCTCATGCCAGGAAAGCGCAAGGATGTACTGCCAAGAACAACAGAGGATGTGCCAAAAGCCCCGATAGCGTCAACCACTGAAACACTGCAGGCATCGGCGCCTAAATTTTCTGCCCATTGGGCCACAGCGATGAATGTTACCCAAGTTCACGAGAACGAGGATCGGGCATTTGCTGGTGGTTGTCGCCTTTGGCTTCAGGACGGCACAGAGGTCTTCTATCACATTGCGGCAGTGGTGGACGGTCATGGCGGAGCTGGAGCCTGTGAGTTGATCGCCCAGTCGACTATCAGCATCTTAAGCGAGCATCTTGAAACGACCGCAGGGGATGTTTCTGCTGCACTATCGGCAGCCTTTGCCGAGTTGGAGGAGCAGTGCCTTACCTTAACTCCCCCTTCAGGGGCTTGTGTATGCCTCGGCATAGCAGAAAAAGGTCGTGCTTGGATAGCGAACTTGGGGGACTGTCGGGCCCTTGCCATCTCCCTTGAGGAGGGCGCCTGCCTGTTGAGCGTCGACCACCGCCTGTCTGACCAAGCGGAATACAATCGGATTCGCGACGCTGGAGGCTCTGTGAAAGGAAATGCAGTAGAAGGCCTGATGCCAACACGAACCTTAGGCGACCCAGACGTGAAAGTTCTCTGCCCTGCTGGCACGATTTTGGCGGAACCGGAAGTGCGAATTTGGGACGGCCAGGGACTCATCGTCATTGCCTCTGACGGTCTGTGGGATGTCTTGTCCAACGCAGATGTACTAGAGTTCGTGCCAAAGCGCAAGAGTTTGCGCCACGCATGCCGGGATCCTGAGACTTTGCAAGCTTTGGCAGACGGGATAGTGGAAGAGGCGATGCGTCGTGGCGCGCAGGACGACGTCACAGCTTTGCTGCTGCCGGTACTTTGAACCGTCGTCCCACAGCACGGAAAATCGGAAAGCTCAAGGCGGGCCCCGCGTCATGGGCTCTGGTGGAATCCAGTGTGATGCGGTGATGACCACGTCCCTCCAACGGTCGCCCCCAGATTCTGAACATGAGCTTTTCAGGAACCGAATGTCTGAATATGTTCAGAACATCCCCGCTGCTTCGAAGAGCCAAACAATGAACAATGAAGACAGGGCTGTTCGAGTGGAACAGTTCGGAGAAGAACAGGACGATGATGATGTTGTTGATGATGATGACGATGATGTTGATGACGATGACGGCCGAAGATGATGATTATGGTCATTGTACCTACCGTGATGGTGATGATGAGGATGAGAAGCAGAAGAAGAAGCAGAAGAAGAAGAAGAAGAAGAATAAGAAGAAGAAGAAGGTGATGATGATGATGATGATGATGATGCGACTCTCGCTGCTGCCGGCGGTGAAGCGGCGGCGAAGGTGATTCTGAGACCAACCCAAGGTTGAGGTGAGTCGTCAAGCCCAGCTCTTTCGAATCTCGAGTGTTAAGTTTCGCCTTAAGGTTCATGAGTCCAAGACCTGTCGCAGATAACCTGAGACTTTAGATTAGTGGGTGCGACAATGGTGGTTGCTATCTCAGGTTCTTGGATTCGCAGCAGCTCCCAGCGAGCAGTGATGCCGGTTTCGGCGGGGATTGCTCCCACAGCGCGCTGTTCCTGTCACCCGGTTGAAGGGCCTGGGCTTAAGCCGACAGCCCTGGGGCGCTGCAACACCCTGGCTGCTCAGGAGTTGGCCTCCCCGTAGCGAAGCGGCAGCTTCCGCCCTTCGCAGCTTCGGCCGAGGGCTCAGCGGGCTATAGAGGTATCCATTTCTCCATCTCTACAGTCTCTGAAGGCTTTTTCTAACTGCTACCCACGGTCTGGGTTCGGCCAGTAGATGTCAAGCCGTGTCAGGGCTTCACACTGTCGCCAACTTGAGGGCTTGTCTCGGGCCGACGATTGTAGTTTAGGGCCTTTGCAAGTCAGCAGGCACGGATGGCTGCTGCCGGCTTCCACAACCAAATGCTCCCCAGAAGCCTTCAAACCCGAAGCCATCGCTACCCCGAAGAGATGCACCTTTCGCTACGGATCTAAACTTACAGGCGGTCCCATGCTGGTGGTAGTCGGCGACCGTGGGAAGTGGCATGGGTCCGAGTCCTTCCACCAAGCCCTCGAGGAGCCAAGTCCTAAGAATCCTAAGCACGAAACCCGATGCTGAAGGTGAACAGCTAGCTAGGGAGTTCACGGGAGCACGATTGAAAAGGTCTTGTCTGTTGCAAGAGGACCTACAGTCTCTCGCAGTGCATTCTTGTGATAGTCCTTCCCGAAGGATAGCATAACTCACTGACAAGCTCTGGATATATCGGTGACACAGAAGCCCGGTACAGACATTGAGAATTTACTCCAATGTCTTCGGTACATTGTGTGACAGCTTCTCATAGCTGATGGCATGAACCCGTAGTGGGCCATCAGCCTGCAACAAGCTATCTGAAGCCACAAACGTATCCCTGAACTCTGGATATAAACATGTTTACTGTTACTGGACCTGCATATGTGGGATCCGTGGCTTGGCTTGCTGAACCCAAGTTCGGAAGCCTGAGTGCCAAGCTCTCTATGGGCCCCAAAGAAAGCTCGGCTATTCTCAGCATAAAGTCAAGGTGCAGGAACCTTCTTAGAGACATCCTTGCAACCACTTCCACGTGAGCCAAGCCCCGCAAAAGCTACACGGACCTAAGACCTAATTGGACCACCCAAGGCCTCGAATTCGAGAAGCCGTTGCTGCAAGGAGAACTGGTCCCTGGTCCTGCAGGCGGATCTCCTCACCTGGCCCCGGCTGCAGGAGACGAAGTGAAGAGCTGCAGGCTTTAGGCAGAAGTGAGGGTAGTCACTATTACTATGGCTTGTTTCCGGAGGAAGACGGGGAGGGTGGGTTCAGGATTATCTTGTCCAGATCTTTGATCAGACCACTATGACGACTGTGACCATCATCGTCATCGTTGTCGTCATGATCAGCAACATCAGCAACATCAGCATCATCAGCATCAGGGCAACATCGGCAATGCAGCGGCGTCATCGGCAACATCAGCAACACCAGCAACTTCATCAACATCAACATCAGCAGCGTTTGCAACATCAGCGTAGTCATCGCCGGCACCCCTTTTCACCGGCACAGTCAGACCTTTTTTCCGACCAGGTGTCACTTCTCGTTCCCCAGAAGGCTCTGAAGGCTCCTCTGCCCACCTGACCCACTCATTTCTTGAAGCACTTACCCCGAGGTCGGTAAGGATGCGAAGCTCCGAATCGAACTTCTGCAGCCGACAGGCTCCGAACCCTACTGCCCGTTGGTCTGCGACGCCCTGCCCAGGACGACCTCCGCATCTTCTGCCGAGTGGAGAAAAGGATGTGGGGCGTTTGCTTCATACCGTTTGTCGTGTTTCTTTACTTGTGCTATAGAGGGTACTACCCGGGCCAAGGACTTAGAGGCGTTGCCAGCGCTGTCGGCTGCAGCGGCAGCAGCGGCGTTCGATGCGGCAGGCACGGCCAAAATCACAGAAGTCGATAAAATGGTGGGTTTCGTGGTTCGGGTTAGGTTTATTTAGGTCATTCTAGGTTGAGCATCTAGCGTAATTCGGCAGTCGGGATTTCAGATTCGGCAGAAGTAGACACTGCACGGCAACGCACAACACCCGCCAGCCCTTCCTAGGGACTTCGTGGAAAAGGGTCCGTTACCCTCAAACCGAAAACTCTAGACCCTAGCCCTAAACGCGGAACCATACCCGAACACTGAGCTTAAGGCCCAAGCCCGAAACACCAAGCGCGAAGCCCCAAGCCCAAGCCATTGAATACTTCTTAGAATACAAGAGATTAATCGTATCCGTTGGGTTTAAGCGGGTGACATCTGGGATTGTTATTACGGATCGTTTCGAGACTCCCCGGATGATAAGGGCAGCAATGATCCGGCGTCGTATTGTTTGTGTCAGAGCTCTTTCAAAGAGGAGAAAACCACTTTCACTGGTCATGGCTTGCTTTGGCTGCGAGGCTGTCCAGCTAGTACTAAAATTGCTCGTGGCAGATCGCATTGAGACTCCCGAGCCTTAGGCGTGGAGTCTACGAGTGGTTGAAAGAAAGGTGCGGATGGAGAGGGGCAGCCCCGAACCTTGAATTCCAAAAGCCTGGCGGAGAGAGCCAGAGCGACGGAGGCATCCAGCCCGAGGTGCTCAGGAGCTTGCTCCAGGAGCAGCAGCGCAACCTGGCCTAAGGAAGCGGTGGGGATTACTATCAAGCACCGCTGGAGTTTTTGGGTACGATTCTCAATGCTATTTATGTTTTGTTGGATACTGCCTAGTCTTTTTGATACTGGCTTTCCCGTCGAGGCTTCGCGGGCGTGGCGCAGACGGAGGTGCCAGCACCATCAGGCCCGTTAGGCTGTTCAGGATTTTCCGGGTTTAGATGCTGAGGTTTGGGATTCACGGATACAGTCTACAGCAGTTGAAGGTCGTTGTAGGTCGTTATAGACGGGAGCTTTGGGTGGTAGTTGTAGGTTGTAGGCGTTTAGCAATGTCTGTGCTCGTCATTTGGATTAGAGGGCTCACGGCAAGCCGCTCAGCGTGCGACCTGAATATCGCAGCCCCTAATTAATATAAGAAGTATTCGTCTTGCTGTATTGCCGCTGTATTGCTTGACAGCCCCTAGAGTCCTAGAGGCCAGACCGCGCCAGATCCGAGAGTCAGCATCGACAGTGTCTCATAGTGTATTAGTATATTCTTGCTTTCTTAGAGAACCCTCAAATCCAATTCCGGCGACTCGGAGTCCGACTCGGTCCTCCCAGATCCGAGCGCCCAAAGCCGTCAGAACACCCAGAGCCTTCAAGCACGACCTACATGGCCCAAAAGGCCATGTAGCTCGAAAGCAAATCCTAGAGTCCTAGAGCTTAAACTCTAGTACCAATCCCCCCTTCGAAGCCCAAAGCCTTCAAGCCCTAAGCCCTATATGGTCTCGCCTCGGGTTCGGGATTCAGGGCAGGGCTGTCGTGGTAGTTGGGACGTGACAAAGGAGGCTAGCACCAGGTATTTCCCACAACCCGTGTAGAAGACTGAGGGTCTTCTTGATTTGGAAAAGCCCCAGAAGAAGCCCTAGTGAAGTCCCCCACAAGCTAACCTTCAACGAGGCCCCAAGCCGTCCAACCTGTGTGGAAGGCCCGGTGGGCCCAAAGACGGCCCCGCCGCTCGTGATTTCCGTGTCCGAAGCCCTGGGGACAACGGAGGAGCGGGCTTCCGTACTTGTGCGGTTTGCAGCTTCGGGGTTTCAGGATTTGGTAGCGTTTAGGGTTTGAAGGGCTTTAAACCTCGAGGACCATCGCCTTGAACATGAAAACCCAACTGGGGCCAGACATGGCCAGACGTTGTTGCCGGCTTCGGCTCACAGCCCCTTCCACCGAAACCGCAGCGACACCGTGATCGAAGATATTGAGCAACCTCGAGGAAATGAGGGCTACTAAAGTCTCAACCCGGAATCTTGGGGTAGCGACTCAGCGACTGCCAGGGGAGTGGCGTGTCGACACCGAAGACGCCGAAGAAGACCACGGTGTGGGGGCCAAGAGCAAGTATTGCTTCAGCAACCTTTGACCGACAAGCGAGACGGACAAGCAACAACATTGAGTAGTGGTGGTAGTAGTAGCAGTAGCTGTAGCAGTAGCAGTAGTAGCGGTAGTAGTCGTGGTGGTGGCGGCGGTGGTGGTGGTGTAGTGGCAGTAGTATCGATAGCAGCAGCAGCAGCTGCAGATGCTTCCCGCTGGATTTATCTCCGCTTTTTCGGGCAGGCTTTGGCAAGTTTTCGGTTACTTGCGCTGTTCGCATGTTTCCACGCTAGTTCGGAAAGGCTTCTTCAAGTTCTGGTGCTAGCATCTCCGGTACCTCTCGTGCTCTGGCTGCCAGTCCGGAGGCTGACGAGTGTTATAGGCGGCTGGTGGCCCATATGTGTTTCAGCAGTAGCTTGCGGTCGTGGGCTGGTTGACTGGCAAGAAGGCTGAAGTTACCCAGATGGCTGCCATCGTTCCTGTCCGCGGTGTCGTACTTGTGCTCCTCGACGCCGTTGTCAAGTGGCCGATGTCTCAAACACATGGGCAGTTTTGCTACTGGTCGTTGTCTTCGTCGTTTTGGTGTTTATTACTGCCAGCAGCACGCGTAGGTGTCGCTGAGGGGTTGCATGGCTTAGCCACATGTAGCAGCTATAGCTGGTCTGGAAAGTTCTGCGCAATCCAGCCCGAACCCCCCGAATTTTGCCCAGCATGCCGAGCCCAGAGAAAGAGGCTGCTCCCCAAAGGCACTTCGGCCATTTTGTTTGCTGCTATTCTTTGCATCCTGGGCGCTGGTGCTATCGTTATTCTTATGTGGTGTTAGCGTAGTACACATCTGCAGTGGTCACGACAACTGAGGGGGATGATGATAATGTAAAAGAGAAGCTGTTTCGTCAACATCATCTAGGTCCACTTTTCTATTGAGCTTCTCTGCCCCTGGCCGAAGGGCCTGCACCCAAATCCTCAAGCCTCAGTGTACCCTTCGGATCCCTCTGTCCGTTGACTCATTGGAGCACACGCACTTGTGATGAGCTTCTTGGCCTGGAGAGTCGTACTGCTGCCAGGTGATGTTGCGGAACTTACCCAACAATTACACGTCAGTGACCCGGAAGTTCACATGCTTTTCTAGCACTGAGAGCTGAAGATCGGCGCGTGCAAACATCACTGAGCCTCGAGCATCTCCGCGCGATGACCAGAGCGCGGGACAGACCCCAGCCTTGATTCCTTGATCTCCTTGTGTTCTTAACCCATGAGCCCTGCATCCTCGGCGGGAAAGAGCGCTGCTGTGCTATCTCGACCGAGGCGTTCGATGGTGCTGAACTTGCTGAATCAGGAGCTGAGTAGAGATTTGGGGTTCCACGCTTTCGGAGTCTTGACCGGTTGTAGCAGTGGTAGCGCACCGCACTACAGAATACCACCGAGCCTTGCCAGCAATGGCACCAGCTACTCTCCGAAGTCCGAAATCCCTCTTTGCAACCCTCAGCCCCGAATTCGATTTTTTCAGGCTTTGTGGATTTTAGTCTTACTTAGGCATTTGATGTTATGAGGCTTGCTACAGCTTGAGAGTTTCAGTTATGGGCTTACTTCACATGGTTTTTCAGCTGTTCTACCACGCACGAAAGATGAAGACTCAAAGCTGAGCCCAAAAGCACTCCCAAGTCCCGAAGCACGACACTCGCAGCCTTAAGCAAGTGCTGAGCGTCGCAGCCACAAAGCAACGCAATTTCACTTCTAAAACTCCAAGCTCGCGCAGGAAGGCTTTAAGGGCAAGTTTGACTTCCTGTATCTTCCGATTGACTTCAGGCCCACTGATGTGAGGCTGCAAAAGCTTGGCACCTCTTTAAAGCCCTCAGTTCCGGACCGGTTTGGCGTTTACAGCAAAGCCTTGGTGAAGATAACTGGCAGCCCCCGAACACGAGCTCCATGAAGCTCTTTGCTTTCGTGGGCCAGGAAAGCCCGGTCTAGAAGGTCTTTAGAGACATTTTCCGAGGCTTGCTGATGCTACATTCCCGATGCCCGGAATCCTAAGCACTCTCCTGCAGCTACTCGGCAGTACGGCATTTGATACCCGACCTACTCGACCAGAGTCCGCCACCCGACTTGGCAGTGTTGAGGGTTCTGAACTTGCTTGGGCAGTTTGGCGTTTGTAGGTGTTTGCACCCCAGCTCAACGAACACTAAATCCCAAAATCCCGATGCCGAAGTCTTGCCACCAAAACTCCTTTGCACACCCTAACACCTACGCCTAAGCCTCTGCACCCAAAACCAAACTCAAACCCCCTCCCGAGCCGGAAAGGTCAAAGGCCGGACTGGGTTACGCGTTCGTCAACCTGGTTGAGCCTTCTTTTGCTCTGGCCTCGGTTGGTGCGGGGGTGTCAAGCCCGAAAAGCTCCGGGTTCAGGGCAGAGCGCTCCAGAAAGGTAAACCGTAACCCTCAGGACATAAAGTGTAGCATTGTGGATCCAGCTTTCGTTCAAGGTTTCAGGGCTGAGGCTTGCTGACCGGGTCAAGGTACTGGCCTTTAATTCCGAATCCCAAATGCGATTGTTGCAGTTTTCAAAATACTGAGCATATGCTCTCGACCAAGTTTTTGTGTTGCAAGCGAGACGGACGCTCGAAAGAGAGACGGCTCCGATCCAAAACATAGAACCGGAACCCCGGAACCCTGCAGCCCTTGGCTGTAAACGCTCCCTCAAACCGACACACATCCGCTTGTGCCAGGTGCCGTCGTTTTGGAAGGCATTTGACGGCTACACGAAATGGGTGCGCCTCGCAACCCTGGAGACTCCAAACCACTTTGGGTCCTTGGAAATCTTGCTCACCGACACAAGTCCTAAGCATGATTCCTGTTTTGACAATTGAGCACCTGAAAGGCTAAAGCGGCAAAACTCGAAACCCACGAAGCCCGAAGCCTCGGAGCCGGAGGTACTGCCAAGCTCCAAGGTTTGCCAAGCACGGGGCCCGGGCCGGGCTTGCCGGACGGAAAGCACGCAGGTCGTGAACAAACACTCGTGACAAAGCAGAGACGCTTTGAGTGGTAGCAGTAGCACTAGCAGTACTGGTGGCAGTAGCCGTTGCAGTACTGTAGCGGTAGCCGTGGGCGTAGCAGGCGTAGCAGTAGCAGTACCAGATCTGGACGGGGCAGTAGATCTGTAAGGCGTGAAGCCTATAGATCGGAAATCCTTTTCCCCGGGCCTTGAACCCCAAAAGAAGACCCAACCTAGTCGATGCCCGCCGACAAGGTAAGTTGGAGTGGCCCACACCAGGACGGGGTGGTTTATGTTTGGAAGCTTGGGTTTTGACGGAGATGAGGGTCCAGGGTTTAGGGGCGAGAGATGCCTTGAGATTCGGGTGCTAATGGCCATGCAGACCAAGACCCGACGAACATCAACTCTGGCGGCGGAGCTGTGGATGTCGAGCTCGAAGGCGGTGTTTAGGTTTGATGGCTTTGATGCCATGTTGCTACTGCGGCCCTGGCCCTACGCCCAACAGCAACTGTCGGACACGAAGTCGGTGGTGAGCTGAAACAGTATTAAATCTGCGTCCGATATCCTTGTGGCATCCCAATGACTGGTTTTGGATCTCTTCGGCCATCTTCGGAGACGTTCGGAATTCCATATGCTCAAGGTGCTTTGCCTTCAAAAGTCACCACAGAGCCCGGGCTTCACTTTACGGGGGACCGGAACTGGCGTTTGCTCCATAGCAAAGAGGAGGGAGTGTGGCGAGGGGAAGGGATTGCAACCTCCAAAGAATGTGGCATATCATGACCACGCCACCCTACACCGAGCAGCTATCAGCACAATCCTTCGTGATCGCAACAGCCAGCAATGGGGGCTGCTCTCGGCACACATGCCGCGTCACACCATTCTAGTGTGGGGGGGAGCTTATGCATGGATGGGGCACTACACCTGCCATGCAACTCCCACACCTCTTCCGAGGGACGGACCTGAACGAAATCTTCATGCAGTATGACATCCCCCGCTTGCCCATGCCCCAAACCAGGTCTTGCACGTCTCGGGGTGATGTTTCGCGTACAACTAGGCCATGACTCCCAGCAGGCTCGACTACGTAGCGGTCCGGCGACTACAGGTAGTACAAGTCCAAGTTGGAACGTGCAGGGATATCGCGGCTTGGGGATCACGAGCCTATCATTGCACGGGTTGCCGGTCGCGCCGTGCCCCCCCATCGACGCTGGGGACCGTGGATCCTCAGGGGTGATGACGGCGCCATCCTGGCAGAGACCAACTTCATGTCAGACGACCGCTTCGCCATCGTCACAGTCGCGGCGGCAACGACCGAGTCTGGTAGCTACAGCAGCCTTTTCCGCGAAAGCAAGGCCCTCAAGCAGCTTCGCTGCCAAAGAAAGTTATCGTTCCCCAGATCCATACTAATGTATCATCAACCAAGAATCCAGTACAGTAACCAGCATAGCCTAAGTTTTAAATAGCTGCTTGATTAGCAATTCACTGATTGGGGGTTGGGCTGGAACAACAGCAACGCTTGCTGTAAGGTTTCAGGCTTGATGTTGGGTTTATTTAGGGTGCTCCCTCAAATACGGTTTAGAGTTTAGGGTTTAGGTTTTTTTGTTCGCTCCCACATGTCAAAGCCACTGTGTGTTTGGGGATGTTGTAAGTTTGTCAAATTTGTACTTCCGCCTGACGAGAGGACGTGCTTTGGTTTTGTCAGCGGCTTCCTGCTGTGATCGTCTCATGATGTTAGAGCCACAAGCCCTGACCCAACACAATGCATCCCCAAGCCGTGAGGCCCTGTACTCTTCAAGGCCTCAGGGTCAACATAACAGCCTTTTTCACTAGTCGTGTCACTTTCTATGCACCCTGTATCGCAAGCGATAGGTCGCTTACCCCCCGACGCGGAGTCCTCAACCCTAGAGGCCCTAGAAGCCTGAAGCCAGCTTCAGCCACTTCAGGGATTCGGGTGGTCCGCTGTGGGCTTCGGTGTGTGATGCAACTCTTGTCGGCCGCCTTGTCCAGGGCCAGAAAGCTCATGTCGATCGCTACAGAAGCAGCCGCTGGGCTCACTGTTGGAGATGGGGTTCACCTGGTTGTGTAGTTTCGTGGTTTAGTCTACAAGCCTTTGGGCATAAGACTTGAGCGTCGAGGTTCGTGTTTGACCTGGTGTTGGCACCAACTTTTTTTGCGTTAACTTCTTGAATTCGGAACCTCAAAATGCTAGATCCTTATGGGTTGACCGAGTTCCTTGCTTCCCCAGACCTCGTCAGTTGTTGAGTTCTGCGATGGTGTCGCGTTATGCAAACCCCTCCACGGACCAACATCTTGAGCAAACCCTGGTTTTGAGATTTACTGTCGCGATTTCATGTCTTCTGCGTGCCACTCCGAGGTCCCATCATGCACGGAAGTGTGCCCGACGAGTACAAGCCGGGGGCCTCGAGGGCCTCTGGGCGATCCTGCAAGATTTAGCATAAACCCAACAGATAGACCTTAAGCCCTGGAGCCGAAAGCTCCAGCCCCGCCCAAACTCCGCCCAGGCCGATCGCCGTGGCCCCAGAAAAGCTGCGGATTCTGCCTGCGAATGATATTTGCGGGTAGGGGAACTGGAGTTTTCGGGGTGTGGGGTTGCGAGTTGATGCGTTTTTGTGGTCGCGAGGGTTTTGGGTGTAATTAGGTCCACCATGTTGGCTTCCGGCCTTGGAGTCGCGGGCGTCGTCGCTTAGTGTATCCCTCAGTGATGCATACTTGCCTCGATTAAAACAAGCACCAACAGACGCCAAACCCTGAACAAAAAGCCAGGACCACTTATTATCCTTTACGTGAGGATTCTGTTTCGAGTTTGGTGTATTCAGCGTTGTGGGTTTAAAGTCCGGTTCGTTGCAATGATGTTGGAACCGAACGTCCCGTCCTCATCGCTCTTAGACTCTTGTGACCTGGGTTACAGGTCTTGCAGCATGGCGAGCGCATTCCTTTTCCAGAGGCCACGAAAAAAATTCGGGTGCTGCGCCCAGTGATCCGGGGCTTCGAAGCACACTACACTTTGGAAGTTTCATCCTGGAGCTGACATGCGGCCCGAGAATTTCTTGAATCCTGCCCAACAATCCAAGAAGTTCTGGCTTTTGAGGGTGTTGTTCCGTCGAGGTTCCTGCATCGATCTAGGCTTGATGTTTGCATTCAGCAGTGGCTGTTTGCTGCAGCTGCTGCCGGTGATGATGGTGTTGACGCTGGTTTTGGTGAATACATGATGAATGGAAAGCACAGCGACGGCTATGATGATGGTGGTGGCGATGACGATGACGATGACGATGATGATGATGATGATGATGGTGATGATGATGGTGATGGTGATGGTGATGGTGATGGTGGTGATGATGGTGATGATGGTGATGATGGTCTTGGAGTGCAGGTTTTGGGTCTCGGGTTTCAGGAGAACCCCTTGCGAGTTTGAGCTGGGAGCCGGAGCTCTGGAACTTAAGCTTAAGCTGGCTTTACAACTGAAAGTGGCAGTGGCATAGTATGGCAGACCCTGCATACGGCAGCGAGACGTCTTTACGCAAGCGAGGCCCGGCAACTTTAGCAAAATTTGCATTTGTTCTTTCGGAGCAAAACAACCCACATGACGGATCCAGGCCCCACGACACAGGAAGTGAGGCGGCCGGCGCGGCAAAGTTTTTGAGGCAGCCCAGCGTTGCGTTTCATGCTGAAGTTGTTGTGCTTTCGGAGGATCTAAAGCCGGAAAGCTACCACGTTGAGCCCGACCCGACAGCAGTGATTGCCGATGGCATAGGTTAGGCCGTTTCGGTTACTAGCGCAGAGTTGATGTTTGCTGGTTGCTCTCTCTCTCTCTATCTCTATCTCTATCTATATCTACATCTACATCTACATCTACATCTACATCTACATCTACATCTACATCTATATCTATATCTATATCTATATCTATATATATATATTTATATTTATATTTGTATTTATATTTATATTTCACAAACCAAGAAAGCCTTACGTAAACCGTAGTCACAAGAGCCATTCCGTATATCGTCCATGGGAGGGAGCATTGTACTCCACAGCACTCCTTTCTTCTTGCATGAGCCAGCCCCCCCCTTCCCCCGGAGGTTGCGGTCAATCCTGTGGTGACTGATGTTCCGATGGTGTCACCTTGGTCCTCGCCGTTGTTGAACTTGAGTCTTGAGTGCCTCTCCTCCTTCTACGCTACGCCTCCGTCGTTGACAAGTCGATTTCGAAATCTTTTTCTTCTTGTTCCTGCTCTTCCAGGACTCCGCCTGCTGCCATGATTTCGTACGGTGAAACTGCGGAAGAGTGCGAGTCGTGTGAAGGGTGGTGCAATCCCCTCTGGGGTGAGCTATCGACCGAAAGCCTGTTCCAATGCCTGGATATCAAATCCCATGATACGGTATTTCTCATCTCAAGGTTCACCGAGTCCAACTTGCGGGGTGCCGGGCTGCAGAAGCTACAGATCTCCAAGAGCCGCCATAATTTCCAAAGCACCAACGCCGACTAAACCCCGAAGTCGGAGTCCTCCGAGACATTTCGCATCCAGGAAGGCACAAGAGTCTTCGAGGGGTTTGTGCACACGTGGGGAGCCTGGATGCACCGATGCCACCAGGTTGAGAGAGCAGAGGGTCAGTAGCGTGTGTATCAGGCTTCAAAACGAGGTCGCAATTCAGAGTTCACGATCAAGCAGATCTGTTCGTATCTCCGGAGCTTGATTAAAGCAAGACCAAACAAGTCGTGGTGCTTATGATCATGCATACTTTTATTCCGCTTCATCATCACCATCGCCACCGCCGCCACTATAATCAGCAGTGTCCTGCAACATCCCTGTGATGATGATCATCGACACCGTCATCGCCACCATCACCGCCACCATCGCCACTTCCGTCGATCACCATCACCAGAAAGTGTCACAATTACATCTCTATGTGTCTTATGAATACTGTTGATATCGTCACCAACAAGGTTGCCACCCTGAGAATCAAATTTTGGTTCGAGTCTTGTTCAGTAACTGTTTAGTTGCTGGGGCTCGCCTCAGCCGCGCACCCCATTAATACCATTTAACAACCCCAAGCCTACGAAAGCCGCAACCTGAATCTGGAATGTCGGTGCCTGTGTGGCTCGTGAATGCTTCAGAAATTGAGAAACGGTCATCTCCCATTCCCCTATCTCCTCCGATAGGCCCAGAATTTTGAATCACCGGATCACCAAGGTCGCCTCTGGTAGTGCTCCTGCACTCCACCGCCTAGGTTGCATGCGAGTCCAGACTAAGTTTAGGAGTGGTGAGGGGGCGCTGGCATTGGAAGGCTTCCGCTGTGGGTTTTAGGATCTGAAACTTAGTCTGCGGCCGTGTGTCTCTTTGTGCCAGTGTTCTTGAGAAGCCATGGCTTGAGGGCCTAGGTTATGTTTCTTGTTATAAGTTATGACATGCTTGGTTGGCGTTGTCTCAAGAACAAAGGCCGTGAATTCAGGAGGCGAATTCATGCACAGCCGGGCTAAGCAGCAAGGTCCAAAGTTTAGGACGAGCCTAGCAAAGCTTGGCTGAAGGCTGCGCTGTAGTTTGCGATTGGGAGGCGGCGACAGGAAGGTACTTTTGCTGGGAGGTTCAGCTCTCGAATTTGGATGTTACAGCTCTGGCGAAGTTTGGGTTTGGACCCCAGCTTGCGACTCCGAATCTTGCATTTTCGATGGTGCTTTTGGTTCAGCGTTGGTGGACAACAGACTCTGACTGTTGGAAGCTTGAGTGTCTTGAAAGCAGGAAGACTATTGGCCAGCGCCCTACAGTGAAGCTCTGAACCCTCAGCCCTCAACCCTACATGAGAGCCGAAACCTCCCGTTCCTTCAGACCGCCTGTGTATCCTTTCGCCGGCAGGAAGCGGCCTGTTCGGCAGTAGCAGAACACTCATGTTCTTTTGTCTACTTTGGTTTGTATTCAAGATGTAGGGTTGGAGGTCCGGGATTTAGGGTTCATGATCGTTTCAGGCGCCTTTCACCGCTGCTTGTGCTTAGCATTTTTTCGTCATTATCTGTCGACGACTATCATCCTACAGCGGTCTTCCTTGTTTGTTCAGTTTCGGGAAGCCTCTCTTCGTTCAAGCGCAAGTGTCTTGGATGTGCTGTATTGTGTTTTATTTGTATGTTGACTGCGGGGTCTGTGTTTGTTCGATCCAACCGATGTCGGTGTTTTCTTGGTGGCATGATGATCTTTATGTTGTGCTTTGAGTGTATCGTCGTTGCCAAAGAGTAGCTCGTACCTGCCATTGTTGCCCTCAATCTCCGCTTGTCCTTCAAGCAGCGTCTCTTAAATTGTTCACTTGATTTTCGGTTTGCGAGTGCCAAGTTTTTCAAGGCTGTTTGTGTGTGTTTGCACTCTGGGGAAGCTGGTGGCCTCGTGCGTGTTTGGAGCCTACACTCTCTCAGTTTGTGCCATAATCAGTCTTTATGAGTCATTTATGAGTCTTCGGGACACTGGAGGATCTTTAAAAAACTAAGGATCGCTGTTTCGAAGTCTTTACAATAAGGATCCTAGTATGCAGGTCCCGTTTTTGAGGTCTTCTCATTCTGATTTTGATAGCTCTTGTCTCAATTGGGCGCTGACGGACGAATCTGTTCTGAAAACTTTAGTAATGGTTTCCTTCGCAAACATTTTTTTTTCTCAGAAGCGTGTCTAGCTGCTCCTCCTGCTGCTCCTGCTGCTGCTGCTGCTGCTGCTGCTGCTGCAACGGCTTCTTCCACTACCAGTCTGCTGCTGTTGCGGCTGCCCCCACTGCTGCTGTTGCTGGTGATGGTGGTGGTGCCGCTGGCGTTGTTCGTGTTGTCATCAGTTTCTTGTTGCTACTGCTACTGGTATTGTGTTGCGCAGGGGTGCGTCGGTTTTGGGGGTTGACGAAGGCTGAGATTGGCTGAGCAGTGTCTACATTTGTGAAGCCGAACAGCACTCCGTGCCTGTCATGTTTTGCTCGCCTGAGGCCTGGCCAAGGGTATCTGACGGTTAAAGCCTGCTGGAGTCGTTTCGGTATGGTAGGACTCGAAGTGTACCAAAGGCATAAACTCATAAACGCAACTGTAGTGCCAGAGATAACCCCTGCTCTTCAAGCGTTGTAGTGGCGCCCAAGTTACTTTAGTAGATTCAGCTGGCACCAGTTCATGCTGGTGGTGTGTGAAGACATCGTTCAAACTTGAGCCTCAACCCCACATTACGTGCCTTGCGGCCTCCGGCGGGGAAGATGCCGGGGAAGTCGACCGACCCCCTCGGCGCAGAGACGTCTCGGCCACACTGGCTTCAGGAGCAGACGTTAGCAGTAGGCTATTGTGATTGTGGGTTTGTTGGTTTTTGTCGTGGTAATGCCACCAAGAACAGTGCAGTACCAGTTCCGCTCCCACGGCTACGAGCACTACGACCGCCACGATCGCTAGCCGCTCAATCCGCCTCTGCCGCCACTACCAATGTTTATCATGTTGTGTTGCTCCCAGCTCCTCCTGCTTCCAGCGCTGATACTGCTGCTGCTGCTGCTGCTGCTACTGCCGCTGCTGCTGGTGTTGCCACTGCTGCGCTGGTGCTGCTGCTGTTGCTGCTGCTACTGCTACTGCTGCTGCGCTGCTACTGCTATTGCCGCTGCTACTGCTACCACCGCACCACGACGACGAATACTACTATTACTTCTTCTGCTACTTCTGCTATTGCTACTGTTACCGCCACTGTACTGCTACTGCTGCGACTACTCCTGCTGCTGCTATAACAACTTCAACTACGACTACGACTACGACAACGACAAAAACTACTGTTGCTACTATAGTGCCACAGCTACTAATATAACCGTGACCGCTGCTACTGCTATTGTAGATGCTACTGCTGCTGCTGGTCTGCAGCTACAGCTCGCCCGTCATAGGTCTGCAAGATGTTCAGGTTGGGGGATTTGCACGTGTGCAGGGAGTCGCATCCTGAACTCCAAAGCCGATACCTATCAGCCCCAAAGCACTAGCACTCCATCAGCAGGTGTGGGCCTCGTGAATTCGGAGCAGCAGGGTCTTCACTCAGTGCCATGCGACTAGGATTTTCAGAAGGTCCGCATAGGCTTGAGGGTTTAGGTTCTCAAGGTTTACACCGAGTTTTAGTCATGGCAGAACTATGGAGAGTTGATACAGGATTCTCTCTGGACATCTTCCGAGGTTTCTGCCACGCTTCTCCCAAGCCTCGCCTTTGACTTTGAGTCTTTCCAAGGAGATTTCATGACGCAGCATCGAAGGGTTGGTGTCAGGATTTACCCTATCCTAAAAGGGTTACATCCCAAGCTCACATCACCAAGAGTCTTTGATTAGTGATTAGAACTTTACGGGCTTGCACAAACTACCATTTCGGGTCTTGCGGTAGAACTAGTCTTCGGGCTCAGCCGTATCGTCAGAAAACAAACTCAGAGGTTATGCTTTTGATGGTTCAGTCGCTGGCACAGGAATGGGCCTTCCGGGAATTATGCTGCAAATACCTTTGCGTTGTGAATTCGTTGTGCACGCCCTATGCGAAGTGTTCTCCCCTAAGCGCTCCAAAGGATGCTGGATCCTCATCATCCTTTTCAACCCTAAACCCTAAAGCCTAGCCCCTAATTAACCCGTGCGCCGAATCTTGTAACTCCCAACCCCAGACGCCTAGCCAAAGTGTGAATCCTGGTGTAGCTACCAGAGAACATGAGCAGCACAAAACATAAAGTAGTATTCATGTAAAATAAGACAAGATAATCCATGTAGTGTAGCATAGTACAATACAATACAGAATGATATTATGGTATGTTGCAGTGTGTTCTCTCATGCTATGATACCGTATCGTATCATGTCAACTCGTATCATATCACGTTCTGGTATGTAGTATCGTACATCGTGATATACCCCGCGAATATGCTCTTTGTCTTGTTTTAAGCCACGCTATACTATACTTTGTGTGACGTGGTGTCCTGTAATGTTGTGTTACATTCAATGTTATACGATGTTGCATCAGCCTAGTTGTAACCAGTATTGCATTGTTATATTCTACCGAATTACATTACGGTATGGTTTATTATGTTATAGAACGTCTTTTTCTGTCATTACATCATATTATTCCACGACAGACCCTGCTGCATAACTAAGAAAGGCTATAGCTTTGTCTACTGAGAAAGAAACGAAGCTTCCAACCAGCGAAACAGTAGATCTGCTGCAGGTCCACGAAAAGCGTTGTGCCGGTTGCGGTGGTTATTATACTACATTATATCCTGTTATACTGTATAATATACTGTTGTAATATAATATGCTGTTATATGTTATCATATGGTATAATATATAATAGAACAACGTAATATAGTATACTATTGTATCATATAACATTATACTTCATTTGACACCACAGAGTACATAACACGTTGCGTAAATCTACGTTGTTTTCTGGTGTTGTATTATGTTGTATTACGTTGTACTGTTTGTATATACATTGTTACATTGTATTTCATTATTCGACATGCTATTATACGGTCTTACAGT